ATTTTAACTATATCAACTATTCTAAATTCAAAAAAAAAAAAAAAATTAAAAATATAACAAAAAATTAAAATTTTAGACCGAAACAGAAAGATACACGGCCATGTAAAATTATATATGGCCGTGTAACAACATGGTCATGTATAATTATACATTGATATATACATGGTCATGTAACAACATGGCCGTGTATAATTGTACATGGCCGTGTAACAACATGGCCATGTATAATTATACACTGAAATATACATGGCCCTGTAACAACATGGCCGTGTATAATTGTACATGGCCGTGTAACAACATGACCATGTATAATTATACACTGAAATATACATGGCTATATAACAACATGGCCGTGTATAATTATACATGGCCATGTACTTTCCAGGTCAACTGCCACGTTACCTCCTTCATGTCCACGTCAGCAATTTCCATTAATTTTTTAACAGTGAGACCAAAATTGATAAAAAATTGTTTATAATGAGACCAAAATTGATTGAAATTGTTTATATTGGGACCAAAATTGATAAATTTTAGTTATATTGGGACCAAAATTGTTGAATTTTTTATATTGGGACCAAAATTGATTAATTTTTATTATATTGTGACCGAAATTGATTTTTTCCCTAAGTATATATATATATATATTTGTTTTTAGATATATATAATATTAGAAAGATAAATATATTGAAAAGATGATAAATCAAATTCTCGATAGTAACATTTAAATTAGTTGATATGTATATATTGTTCAATATAAGATAAACAAGTAAATTTTGCATTATTTTTTACTCCTTTTGTCCGGACTTTTTATGTCATATTGTCCGCACATAAAGACTAAGAAATAAAAATATAGTTAGTGAAAAAAATGGGATAGCTAAAATGTAAATTGATGATATTATAGTGGGGTAAATAGGAAAATAATGACAAATTTGATCGTTATTTGTTAAAATAAACATAATAAAATTATTGTTGGATAATTTTTTTTTATTATAAATAAAATATATATAAGTTTAACGGATAAAAAGATATGGTATAATTATCCGAATGAAGAAAGTATGTTATAATTTAATTATATAAATGATAGTGACAAATTAATGAAGTTTGATTTTGGCAACCTTTTAAATTTTTACCTACACAATTTTCAACTACATTATGATTTTAAAAATTATTTATAAAAATATGAATAGACATCACCAATATTATATATAGATATCATTGCAGTATTTATATTTAATAGATAAAATTTATCAATTTTCAATATTTAGAATATTAAAAATTGATCGTGTTAAATATTTAATGTATTCAAATGATTATCGTATAAAAACATTATATATTTAACAATAACAATTAATTTTAACAATTCAATAAAAATTTATAATTACTTTGTACATAGCACGGCTCCCCTCGGATGTATATATATATATAGATAAAAATCATTAAGTGAAAGTTTTAAATTTTAAATTAGAAGCTCAAAATAGTTTTTGGATGCTTATCGAAGCGAACTTGCAGACATTTGGGTTGGTTCTCCACTCTCCAGCTTCCTTCAGAAAAGATCCGAAACCGTGTTTTCAAAAGAATAAAGAATGCACCAACAAGAAAATAAATGAAAGAAAATTAATAAAGCAGGACCGAAAAAAAAAAAAAAGAGTGAAATTGCATAAAAAAAAATTGAATGAGAAAATATGGTTATTGACATATTTTAAAAAAGTAAATTAATATATATATATATATATATTACTTTTAATCATATCTAAATTAGTTAGAATTCTATTTTTATCCTCAATCTATTATTATTAAAAATAAAAAATCAAATAATTACTTCAAACCTCCTTTGATGGACCGATTATATGGACTGCATGTCGGGCCAAGACTCAGCAGCAGTTCATCGTTTGTGAGCTCAATAGGCCTAAATACGAAGGGCTGCTTTGGTGGATCTGTTGTTTTATGTTAGAAATTTTGGGAGAAAATATTGAGATTGTCTTATTATCGTCAAAATAAGGAGCTTTTATATATATATATATAGGCCATACAAAATAGACTCGATAGATTCAAATATAAGTAATATATAAATCTACTAAATCTGAATATCTAAAATATCTCAACATACGGCTCTATTTCATCTAAAAAAATATTTATTTTCTAGCAGTACGTCGGCCTTCGAGTGCATTTTGAATGTTTCGATGTTAAGTTGCATTCGCCCCTTGGAGCATCATCAAGAAGGAAAATACCTATAGAGAGTAATTAATCACCTCTAATATGTGCATCTCAGTACGCACTTTCGAGTAGCGGTTGTGGATTTCCACGTCATTAAAAATAAAATAAAAGAAAATAATATCTAGATTATTTTCAAATATATTATCATCATCAAGAGTATCGATCTTTGGTTCTCCCTCGAGTACCTCTGACTCCGATGCAATCATCGGCGCTTTCCCTTTATCATGATCTAGCATGGCCTGTGAGGTGCTTGCTTTATTAATTGCCTAATACCCATTTATAGGAGTCTTTTCCAACCCTCGAGTTGGATGCGGAGTGATTACAATTTTATCTAATAATGACACTCGCCAAATCTCTTCATCCTTCTTGAAACTTACTTCAGCGACAATGTTTGTAGGCGTTAATGTGTCTCATACATGAATTTGACGTGGAGGATGATAAACTTTTTCCAAGTGCTCAAAAATAGGTCTGTGCGGTGCGCCAACTTTTGAATTTTTTCCTTCATCGGAAAGTATAAATGTTGCTCATTCTTACGATGAATTCCTACCACATTTACAGAGGCCGGGAAGGAGTCGGTGTCTATTTTCATGTATGTCCAATCAGAAAGACACAATTGGCCCTTTTTAATTTCCTTTTGCACGGAGTTTTGAAACGCGATACAATTCCCAATTGCGTGGCAGAAAAATGTTATTTACAAAATTCTTCCCTTTTAGCTCCTCTTTGATAGAAATCTATACCCCTCTTTCAACCGAATTTTCTTGTCTTTCAATAAATAATAAAAAATCTCTTCGAACTTGACAATATCGAATGAATATTGTACCTTCATATTAGCCTCCGTTTCCCTAAAAACCTTCAAGTATACATTTTTTTTTTTTTGTAAATTCACAGAGACACACATCATCAATATCATAGTCGGAAGACAACTCCTCGCCTTGTTCTTGAATAAAATAGACTGTTTAGTGACTTCGCTGCTGCTGGGCAACTCGTGTTTCTCGACGCAGCTGCTTGACCTTTGTGTCCAAATACGGATATTCTTGCAACGCAAGCCTCTCTCGTAGGTGAGGTAACATATTATCGATTTCAATCCCTACAATTTTGCCTTTTGGAATTCACACTTGAACCGTCAGTGCCCAACATGCAACTCAAATCCTGTAGCCCATATTCAAATTCTATTTGGTAACGACCCGACCCACTTCTATATATTTGAAAGTTTTCGGAAATAATGCTGATGGTTCGAGTTTTTGTTTGTCGCCGGAGGACGGAGCTGTTGCTGTCCGTGAGTTGCTGGCAAAATTTTCGTCGTTGTTTATCGGCGTTGTGAAATTTTTGATGTGCTAAAATCAGATTCGTGCATATCAATTCAAACACAAAAACAGCAAGTCAGGGAGTCATTTGCCTTTGATTTAGCAATTAGTCATTGGTTTCGTTTGTTTCTGTTTTGTTCATTGTAGTTCGATTAGTTTTTTGTTTAGCCTTGTTCTTGGTTTGGTTAATTTCTAATTCCAAGAAATTTATAGTTTGTGTTGGATTTTGATTTCGAATACATTTTTGTAGAAGGTTTTTTTTGTTATTGATAGATTTAATAAAAACATAACAATAAGCATATTGTATACTTTTTATATAATTTAGTTTCAAATTATATAGATATATAAATATAGATTAAAAAAATTAGTGGAAAAATGACCAAAAATTAGTGAAAAACTTTCATCGACCAAAAGGATGTGTGTTTGTCTGGGGTTTGGATTTTGAGTTGGGATTTGAATAGTAAAAATTTTGAATTTGAATAATTGTATGATGTGATATAAATAGGCGTTGATGTGATATTTTGAATGTAAAATTGATTTCTAGTATAATATAAAAAATGAAAAAATAGGTGTTTTATTTTATTATTATTTTTTTTTTCTGAATTGTGGGGTCGGATACCAGCCTTAAAATTTAGGGGAGCAAAATGTCAATTTTTTATTTTTTATTTTTAATTTAGTTTTGTATTTTTTTTATTTCTCCCAATGCAACGGAATGAATAAGAATAATGGAAAAAATAGATAAAAATTAAATTTTTAGAGAAATATTAAAGAAAATTTAATAAAACTTAATAATTTCTACTAAAAAAATTAAAACCTAAAAATATAAATCAACAAAACTACAAAAATTTTATTATTTTTTATACTATAACATTAAAAAAAAAAATTGACCCCCTAAAAATAGGGGGCAAAATAATAAAAAAAAATACATAAATTTATTTTTTACACTAAAAAAATCTTATTTGACCCCCTAGCCCCTGTGTAGTTCCGTCTCTGGTTAGATCAGATGTAATTCTATAGCAAGTGTGGGCAGCGGCAAGCCCACGGAGCGGCTGAAATCCTGATCGGTAAAATGACGATAGAATTGTCGGTAAAATTTGGATTGTCTAGCCACTCCAAGGCATATATATTAATATGCATTGCACGGTCCAAAACGCGGTTGTAGTTATTATTATTAAAACACCAAAAACACTCCTAAAACAACTCTAAACAAAATCTTAATTATTTAATTATCTGATGTTAATAGTTAAGGGCTTGTTTGGGACCCAAGGAAAGAAATTCAAGTAGCCGGCAAAGCCAAGATGACGACCAAGCCTCCTTAATTGCCGGCCCCAAACAGTCCCTACACTTCTTGATTTCATCTCAATTTTTTTTTTCTTTTTCTATCATATCATTAATCTCAAAATCCTATATTTTATTGCATATATATATATATATAAATATCCTCATCATCTTCTTCTTATTCTTCTTCCTTATTACCATAATGGATACACACGATATCAATGGTGCTCTTAACACTCCTACAATAATTACAACAACCTTAGACTCTGATACCATGAAAGGAAAAAAACTCGTCCTCGATGACTTCCACTTGTTGAAGAAATTAGGAAGTGGTGATATCGGGACCGTGTACCTTGTGGAGCCCAAAGGGTCGACGAGTGGATGTTTGTTTGCGGCGAAAGTGATGGATAAAGAGGAGTTGGCCTCTCGGAATAAGGAGGGTCGAGCGAGGATAGAGAGGGAAATACTCGAAATGTTGGATCACCCTTTTTTGCCGTCGCTCTATGCTATTTTGGATTGTCCGAGGTGGTCTTGTTTGCTAACGGAGTTTTGCCCCGGTGGCGACCTTCACATCCTCCGCCAATGCCAGCCGGAGAAAAGGTTTCAAGAAGATGCCGTCCGGTGAGTAGTTTATATATATATATATATATATGATACAAGATCGATTATTTTAGTAGAAAATATTTTCAATAAATGGAATGAATTGGGTGACTCTAAATTCCAAACATAAATTTTAATGAGTGTACGTATTTGCAATTAAAATATGTTATCTCCGTCTGACTCTAAGAGTCTCATTTAATTTTTTGGTGTTGATCTTTAAATGTTAATTATTATATCAAAACGTAGTACAAATTAAGAAAAAATTTTAAAAATACTTCTATTAATGTTTTATAATACTAATAAAAAAATATTTGTAAAATAAATTATATAAATAAAAGAATATTTTTAATGTTGAGTATAACGATGAGTAGATGTGAAGGGTGAAGGAGAGTAGTATTTTAATTTTTTAATTTGATTGAATTCTTATTTTTTAGGAAATAAAATAAATGATGAGTGTATTAACTATATATATATGTATATATATATTACATGAGAACTAATATACAAATAAAAAAATCTTAATTTACTTTTATGACAATTTACAAATGGTTCGAATGCCTTTGGTTGGGATTTAAAATAAAAAAATAGCATTATTTATACGTACTATTTTTAATAAAATTATATTATTTTTTTTAAGAAATATTTTATGACAATACTATTTAAATAAAAACTCAAATAAATTTCAAATCACAGCTAAACAAACACATTAATGTTTTTTTTTTTTTTTTTTGAATATATATTTTAAAATTTGTTACATATATGTAGATTTTACTGGAAGATGTAATATATATACATATAACCATATTTTTATTTTACTAAAGAAAAAATATTTCATTAATTAGATCATTTTTATTTTTTATTTTTATTAAAATGTGATTTTTTTTTTTTTAATTTAATTTAATTTTATTTTATTTTTATTTTTTTTCCGTTGTGGGTTAATGTTTGTTTATCTTTGCTTATAACTTATCATGATGACATTTTCTAATAATTTTGTACTCTGTCATATAATTAATTTGATTAAGGTTCAAAACATTTAAAAGTGTGTGTATTTATGTGTATGTATATATATATATATATTAGACTTGAGATATATAATTAAATTGAATTGAACATTTTTAAATTTTAATTGTTTTCTTTTTTTCGATATTTTTTCTCACAAGAATCTGGCCTCATGCCTCCATGAAAACTACAACTTTATCAATGAAATAAGTTTCGTAAATTAATATACATAAACGTATTAAAAGTCATTGAAAATCAAAATTGGGAGTTTCCATGCTATTAAAATTTCTTTTATTGAATTCTTTTATACTGTTTTTCTTTAAATATGTATATTAAAATAAATAAATAAAAGATAGTATTATAATATTTGAATATGTGCTTGATATTGTGACAAATGCTCAAAAGTAGAATAGCTGAGAGTTTGTTTCTTTTATTGGGGTCTCTTTCAACACAATGGCCCCATCTAAATTACAAACTTTGTTTAAGTAGGGTTTCAAATATGTTACATCATCTTAAGAATGTCTAAAAAGGACAAAATCTCAATACATAATTGAAGCTAAAAACTAATTTTACAAAGATTCCTTTCTCAATGTGATGTGTTGATTAGGTTCTATGCATCTCAAGTGGTAGCTGCCCTTGAATACCTACACATGTTGGGTATAATATATCGCGATCTAAAGCCCGAGAATGTTCTTGTGAGATCCGACGGTCACATAATGCTGACCGATTTTGATCTTTCCTTAATATGCACCAACTCGTCATCGACAGCCCAACTCATCTACGACGACAAGACTCATTGCTCCGACAATGGTAATAATAGAGACTTAAGAAGATCATTCATCTCATCATGTATTAGATCCAATTGTGACTCGCCAAGCATCTCATGCTTTCGCTTTGGATGGCATAAGGGAAAGAAGAAGAAAAATACGACAGAAATTAGTGGATACAATGGGACCCTAAAAATTGTAGCCGAGCCTATAAATGCTCGATCAATGTCATTTGTTGGGACCCATGAATACTTGGCTCCCGAGATTGTTGAGGGAGACGGACATGGAAATGGCGTGGATTGGTGGACACTTGGCGTGTTCATATACGAGCTTTTCTACGGGGTGACGCCCTTTAAGGGAGTCGATAATGAGTGCACTCTAGCCAATATTGTAGCTCGAGGGGTCGAATTTCCCGATGAGCCAATGGTTGCACCAAATGCAAAAGATCTAATGAGGCAATTGTTGAAGAAAGATCCAAAGGAGAGAATGGGTTGCACAATGGGAGCAAGTGCAATCAAGCCTCACTCATTCTTCCATGGAGTGAATTGGTCACTATTGAGGTGCACAAAACCACCATATGTCCCTATGGACATTGTCTCATCTATTGATCAATGTCATGCCAATGCCAATATTAATATAGATTACTATTGAAGTTTAGGGTTTCATTAATTTATTCTTCTACTTTCTTCTGGTCTTTGTATGGAGAAAATTACGATATAGCTTTGTTTAGATATAGGTTTTTGGAAGTTTAGAAGTTAGAAAAAAAATAAAAAGTTAGTATTTGATTTGATGTTTTGCGAGAGAAAAAATGTATTTGATGTGATATTTTTTGAAAAATGAATAGCGTCAAATTAGTAAACGTGTGCTCTATAAACAAAGCAAATTCTTTTCATAGTTAATATTGGAATGTATTGAATTATTTATTTATTCTTCTTTGTTAATATAAGGGTTAATATACATGTTGTTGGGGCATAAAAATTTATCACCACTATACCTATCAAAATTCAGTAATTTGAAGACATTATTTCATATATTTGTATTAAATATGTTGTATAATTGTGATCAATATATTAATAAATAGACACTTTGAAAATGAATGTTATTATTCAACAATGATAATATGTTTACATACGATCCCTATATAATCTATAGACAACATATTAAACTATAAAGTTATACAACTTGTAATAATACTAATATTTATTATTGGACAATAATAGAGTCTAATCTTGAGTTGACATTTTATATGTAGGAATTCAATGTATTTCTTAACAACCTTTCATATCATGTATGCATAAACAAAATTAAATTGTTTTCAACCTAGTCAATTTATATAATAACATATTATTTTTATTAAAATAGTGTATCTTATATATAAATTCAGCCTATAGATTTTGTTGTTTTTGCAAATGAGCATATCACTCAAAGCTTGCCTAATGTATGTTTAATTAGTTGGGATCCATCTCTATGTTGTTATATCAAGTTAGAAAACAAGAAAAAAAAAAAAAATCAACAATAATATATACAATAGTGTGTAATAATAACAATAATAAGAATGGTAGTATTACAGGTGTGCGGTCCAATTATCGCGCTGATTTGGGTCAAATTAATATGATGTTGATTTGATCAAATTAGTAAATATATATATATATAAAGTAATAAATATTAATATGATATATAACATTTTAATTGTACATTATATAATTATATGAAGTAAACTATATTTTAATTTTAGCAAAATATATTATGATTTTAGCACAATAGTAATTTAACCAAATCATCAAAGATTAAAGAAAGTAACAAATGTTAATATAATATTATTGGACCAAGATCCCAAAGCTACTCGCCAAACAACAAGACTCCAAATGATAAGACTCCAGAAGATCGGGCTTCAAAGAAAGCGACTCTAGGAAATAAGGCTTCCGATGAAGAAGCTCGGAGATGAAGATAGCATCGGAGCCCCAAACCATGAAGCCATCCAACAACAAGGCTCAAAGCAAGTTGTGATCAGTTTAGAAGGAACACACCGGAGACACAAGACCCAGTTATAACCCCAAGAGACAGAAAAAAAAGAAACAAGCACAATGTAGGATAATGGAAAGAACATGGTTCAAAGAAATAAACAATGAGTTATAGGAGATGGAGGTTTATTAGGATTTAACCACTAATAAAAACACACAATATATACAATCTATCAATAACTTTACTATATTTAGATTTTGCTTATCATTTATCCTTAGAAAATTAAGTAATTATCTGTTGTAATGCAAGTTTCCAGTTTGTTTATTGTTGCTTTACACTAAATCCATGCTACTTACTACTTTTTAGTATCATCAATAGCATTAGATCAATTTTTCCTCAACATTATCGTCAAGGACATTGATTTTCCTAGAAGCTCCAATCATGAAGCCGTTTGACAACCTAACAACAGACATGCTTTGTGGAGTTCTATTGGGATTTATGAGTCTTCAAGCTCTATTAACTGACATTTGGCGGACATCATCCGCTCGGCAGTAAGAAATGAAAAATTCCAGATACGTAAGGAGGAACGACGAGTACTAGATGATGGTGTTGGTCTAGACAGATCCCTTGGGGGGATCCTGCAGGAGGCTTTGGAACAATGCTTAGTGACTCTGGAGCATCAAAGGGACATTTTTCCATAGATATGAGTAACCCTCCAAGACACCTTGGAGGGAACCCAGAACAGGGATGCACGATCGGAAACACTAAGGGCTCAACTAATGGCTCAAGCCGTTTGCAATTCGGCAATATTATTATCATTCTCTACCACCAAGAGGGCAAACGAGATTAGGCTTCGCGCCTCAAATGACGGAGGGTATAGAATGTCACCCAAGAGCCACCCCACAAGATCCGTTTGCAGGACAAGCCACGTGGAACCCCCCACAACCACCTTGGGTCCTACGAAGCTTTTATGTGGCTGCTATACCACACGACCTAGGGGGTGCTACAAGCCAGACATGAGGGTTAGGAGGGCAAGTGGTGGTTGTGTAGCCGCCACTGGCCTTCTGTTAGCCAGCTCTAGAGAGCAGATGCTCACAACAAACCAGATGGAGAACATGCCTCTAATTGATGCTGATATACTGGTGGAAAGTATTCAAAGAGTCTTCTTAGAACACAGTTCGAAGAGAGGCCGGTATATCAAAGACCATACCCGGCTTAGGTGAGCAAGATGATGCTGCTGCCTATTCGGAATAAGACTTTTAATTTCACACTATTTTCAGGATAAGACGATAAATCCACCATTAAACATGTTGGGGAGTTCAAGTGTTTCCAAAGATAATGTATTGATTTTGAAGAAACATATCTTCCGGTTATAGATAGAACAAAATTCAGGTATTTGGTGTGTCTGACAGTAGAGAATAATATTGATATGCGATTAATAGATGCATTTACTGCGTATGTTTATGCCTCCTTAGAAAATGATGTCTATATGAAACTTCTAAAAGAATTTAACATGCCTGAATCATCTAAATCAAAGACGAAAATAATCATATTCTATAAAAAAAAAAACACGTAAAAGAATAAAATAAAAAGTGAGACCCTCACCAAACAAATATTATATATTGGATCAATAAATTGCACTAATGTTCAAAATTAACAGGTAATTGGAGTATATAGTAATAGGTAATTCAATCTATGGCCGTGGGACCCATGTTAAAATAAATAAAAAAATGAAAGGTGGAGACATGGCGGCAAAACCAATTTTAGCGTAAATATATATATAGTAGATATACATGGATATATATAGGATGTGTTTGTTTGGAGGTTTGGATTTTGAGTTGAAATTTGAATAATAAAAAAATTAAATTGTAATAGTTGTATAATGTGATATAAATAGATGTTGATATGATATTTTGAATATAAAATTAATTTTTAATATAATATAAAAAATAAAACATATGTATTTGATTTTATATTTTTTAGGGGAAAAAAAATTAATGAATAGTAAAATTTGGGGTAATCCCCCCAAACGAACACACCCGTATTATATTGTCTCTCTCAGAAACTAATTAAGGGTTTGTTTCTTTCACCCCAAATTTTAGGTTTTTACTATTTCAACTTTGCGTTTCTTGAAAAAAAAAATATTTTTTCTCTCACGAAACATCCTAACATACATTATTTTAATATCAAAATCAAACTAAAATTTTTCAAACTACGATCAAAAGAAACTGTTAGAAATTTTGAGGGGAAATAAGGAAATTGTCTTATTGATCATCAAAATAAGGGGTCTATTTATAAAAAATACAAAACAAACTCGATAGACTCAGATCTAAGTAATATAATCTATAGATAAGACCAATTCTAAATATAAATCTACTAAATCTAAAACCAAATATTTAAAATATCTTAACATCCCCCTCAAATTCAAGTGGGTTCTATAGAAACCAACTTGAGTTTGTCCAAGAGCAATCGGAAGCGGTTGGAAAGAACAGACTTTGTAAAGATATCTGTTGTCCGATATGCAGAGGAAACTGAAATGAGATGAATGGCACCACCGACGATATATTGTCGAATGAAGTGATAGTCAAGCTCAACATGCTTGGTGCGCTCGTAAAAGGTATCATTATGGGCCATCAGTAAAGAGCCGTAGAAGATGACTGAGGCACATCAAGATCAGTGAGTAATTGACGAAGCCATAAAAGTTCTGACGTAAAGTCAACAAGGGTACGATACTCTGACTCGGCACTCGATCGAGAAACTAAAGTCTGTTTCTTGCTGCGCCAAGAGACAAGAGAATCACCCAGGAAAAAGCAAAAACCAGTGGTCGAACGATGATCAGTAGGATCACCATCCCAATCAGCATCAGAGTAACCGCTGAGAGTCAAAGACGAGTGAGAGGAAAAGTGTAAACCATGCAGGAGAGTACCTTTCACATAACGAAAAATATGTTAGATGGCAGAGTGGCGAGAGGTCCTCGGAGTGGCCATGAACTAACTCACAATATGAACTGCATAAGCGATATCTAGTCGAGTGAAAGTCAAGTAGATCAAGCTCCCAACAAGTTGACGATAGATGATAGGTTCATCAAGAAAAGAGTCATCATGAAGAGTAAATCGAACATCATAGGCAAGTGGTGTAAAGGCTACCTGAAAGTCTGTGAGACCAGCTCGAGCAAGGAGATCGGAAGCATACTTAGCCTGAGAGAAAAAGAGACCATCGGGAGAATCAGAGACTTCAAGACCCAAGAAGTAACGAAGGGGACCTAAGCTCTTCATCTCAAACTGCTGGCTAAGATATGCTTGTAGATCAGAAATACCAGACGCATCATCTTCCGTGATAATCATATCATCAACATAAAGCAAGAGTATAACTATCCCAAATGAAGAACGACGAAGAAATAGGTCAGAGTCGTAAGCGCATGTGGTAAAACCAAACTCAATAGCGCATAATTAAATGTGGCATACCAAGCCCGAGAGGCTTGCTTCAATTATATAAAGTGCGACGTAAGCGACAAACCTTTCCAGAGGACGAGAAACCTGAAGGGGGCGTCATATAAACTTCTTCAGAAAATGAGCCATGTAAGAATATATTATGTATATCTAACTGAAGAATATATCACTGACGAGCAGCAGCAACGGCAATAAGACAACGGACAGTAGTGAGACGAGCAATGGGAGCAAAAGTTTCATTATAGTCAACTCCAAACTCCTGAGAATAACCTTTGACCACTAGAAGAGCCTTGTAGCACTCAATGGAACCATCAGAATTAGTCTTGATTTTGAAAACCCACTTGCACCCAATAAGTTTCTTGCCATAAGGAAAATCTACTAAATCCCAAGTGTGAGTTTTTGCCAGAGCCTCCAATTTCTCAGTCATAA